CACACTTACCGCTTCTACTTTCACATTTGAATGCTTTACTGCTTAGTAAGCAAACATATTGACAAGCAATTTATCATGACGATGACGCAAATAGAAATATTGCATTTAATTAAACACTAAATGATTGCTGATCCAAATGTTGATGGAGAAACACGAATTTGCTCTGTATTTCCGAAGATTTTCCTTCACGTACCTAAATGTGTACCTGCACATCATACCTGCATTTATCGACTGCCTTTGCCATTAGTTTTGCTTGTAAATCTGCCAGTAATTCTGCATCTGCTTCAACATGCCGTCGTCATTTCTGCAGTAGCATGGCACTGTATGTTTCAATTCTGATAGCAAATTCTGCTGCAATATGAGTTCGTGTTTGCTTTTTGATTGCATCAATACTCCATAATGCCGTCATTGACGGGTAGATCTCGGTGAAGTTGCTTGACCTCTGTTCGCCAGAACCCCGTGAACGGTATGCTACTTGGCGTTGTATACGGCACACATCTGGTAGAAAGTAGAGTTTTGTGTAAGTGGTCAATAATTGCGGCATCACTTTCAATCCGTGATCAAAACTAGGCTAGGTTATGTGGATGTGTTGGAGGGTGGGTGCTAGCTTTACAATCTCCTGGACGATTGCATCCCCACAAGTTGCTGTTCTGACGTTGGTGTGAAAGTCGCTTGACGCATTCATCACCAACGGTGACTCATGCTGCCCTAGTAGTCGAAAGCGAATTCATTCACAGGCTGTGCTCAAAGACTACTTTGTGCATTATCATGACGTAGCTGTGGCTGAGGGCATTTGGTTACAAACTCCGATTGGATATTTGGGATTGAGGTGTCCGGATGTGGGTATTAAGTCGACTATTGAAGAGCAGAATAAGCATGCAGTAATCGCTTTATTTGCTACAGATTGCATTCGATTCAAGTGTGGCAGTTAAGCGTGCACAAGACCCAGACAGCGTTTGTTCCACGAACGACGCACCGTGTAGTCAGCCAAATCACCTGCTCACTCTTGTGGGTCAGCATTGACAAAATCTTACTTGTTCACATCCAATAAGTACTTATAGGTCTACAGTTTGTGTATCCTTTTATCTAATTCAATTAAAGCGATAAGTATGCGGTAGCTGGCAAGCAGTAGTTGACATTGCTCTAGATCTCAGCCCGATCTTTGAAGTAGCTGATTGGAATTTGGACAAAAATGTGTCCTTGATAAGAGACATCGCCTGTGCACTGGTTGGTTTCTTATTAAGGCGTCACAATTGTTTCATTTCTTTGCTTTAAATGGCCTTTTTGCATCAAATAGAAAGAGATTAAGAGCCGTGAGTAGTGGATCACAGCTGTCACGAGTTGCTTGTCCAAACCCGCAGTGAGTTGTGAGTGAGGACAGTGAGGAGGAACTGACACACACGCTTTATTTCAATGTGTCTTAGGAACGCATCGTTCAGCCACTGTGTGTGTCCTAGACTTTCCTTTGTTTCGAGTTGGGGTAGTCTATTTTTTTCGTAGTTACCTGGTGCGTAGTCGCCTCTCCGTGATCTTAAACACTTCAACCTCATTCAGAGACCATGACAAGATCAGAGCTAATGCTGACGCACATCAACCAACGTACTCACCTCTGGCCTTCTGATGTTAAACTGGTTCTCGATCGTCAACTTTAATAGAATCAGAAAGTGGGTTTCATTCACCACCGCCACGGTGAGCAAGTTGAACGACATTGTCGTGTGAATGTGTGGCTATTTGTCATGTGGAAGGCCACAGCAGAGAACACAGACACACTGAATAAAAACCTAATCCAGTAGGTAAGTCCACCCTGTTTCTACGCCGATTCTAGTAGTTTTATTCGCGTTTTAGAAGCACAAATTTTGTTGGCGAAGCGACCAAACTGAGGTTTATGACCTTCATTCTCTTAACTTGGTACATATTCGTCAAACCCGCCAGCATGGTGCTTCGTGTTTTGCAGTAACTTCTCATTACTGAGTTTTAATTGCTCAACTCGCCGATCTTAGATCATCTAGACGTTTATAAGTGGACTTACTGTTACACACATAAACACCTTACCATATTCTCAAAGATTTGCCTGATATAGCAATAATTTCACGAGGGTTTTTGCCTTGTCAGGGAGGCCTTTGACGTGCCAAGCAAGAAAAGTTTATTGTTTACGCTCTGGGATCCGCAACTGCAATCCAGGTAACCACGTAGCGTAAAACTTGCCCGATATATTTGAATTTACTTTTCTGTAATTAAAGTTCGTTGTTTGATTTTGCCTTCATCGTAAGCAATAAATTTTAGCACGTCATATAGCAGTTGTGTTTGTAGCTCAGATGGACGATTCATAGATTTGTGCGTGCAAAACTGGTTGTCAAAATACAACGATTTAGTGGCTACCTTGTTTCAAATAGTGATGATCCCGCTAAGAAATATCTCTGCCGGTTACCCGATTGCGAATAGAGTTTAAGAACACGTCCGTTTGTTAACCAAGGATCCACGTTGTTTGTCCGGTTTCAGGGAATACAACGCCTGTTTGTACCAACTGTGACAATGTCTGATTTACCGAATTCCACGGATCCACAACCACAGTCTACTTCAGGTCCCTCGCATGTGAAAAGTGTTGTCACCAATATTAGAAGCCCAAGGACCTTTTCAACCCCTTCTCCCAAATCGGCGACTTTCGTTGTCAGGGATGGATCCAATCAACGGCCGACAGTGCTCAATACCGAGCAATCGATGAAAACATATGTTGTCGCGTTGGAGCCGACTGATGTAGAGGAGTCCTCACCAGGTCCCTCGAATGTAACCATCGGTCCATTCCTCGATTCAGACGGCGTCCCCACGGAATCGAGTGTCAACACGGCTCCAAGTGTCAAGATGACACCGGCAGCTTCCACACCCGTCCCTGCAGTTCCACTCGTGCAAAGGCCCAATGCAGCTGCCGCCACGCCATATGCTTCAGCTTTGGCCAAAAAAGCCATCATTGTGTCTTACCACTTTGGTGTACGACGACTCACGTGCCCGTTCCAGCCTTACTTAAGCAGAATGAGGGAACACCTCTGCCGGCACACCAATGAGCGTCCGTTTACGTGTGAGAAGTTATCTGTCGGTTTTATAACGTATAGTAAACTGCTGCAACATGCGAAGATCCACACAGACGAAAGCAGTGACGTGAAGGACAATGGAGAGTAACTATGTGTGCCGAACCCCTTCCCAGCACGAAGCACACAATCTCACATGCACTTGATTCACATCTCTGGTTTTTGTTTAGATCTTTCCTCACATTCGCCTCTTCTTATTTATTTGTTACTATAATCTTATTCTAATCCTAGTTGCTAAAACCCTCAAGTGTCTGTTTGCCCAGCTCCGAGGATTTGTGTGAATGTGTTTGTGCACACCTTTATTTATTTACGTTTTAAAAATAACTACTGACTGGGCCTCAACTCTTAACGCATCAGCTACGAGTCTTATTGTTTTGTTAAACCGATTTGCGTGGTCTGCAGTAGGTCAACAGCACATGCGTCAAGTGCGTATTTCTTGTGCGTAAAGGTTCAAACAAGCAATAACTACGGTGCACTTGATTCGTCCACAGAAGTCCGAATTCGTTTTGTGCTCCTAGTCGTTTGTTCCACGTAGACGTCCAACGTGATGTGCGAAAGGAAGGCCTGATTGGTGCTGCAACGCTGTTGGTGTTCTTGTCACTGCAGAGGCGAAGGGATTCGATGCTGTCACGCAGAACCCATCTGGTGTGTGTTTGCTGCCCACGCATTTGAACAAGATTTACCAAAATCACAGGTGCCATGGGTTGTTAAATGAACAATTTTTAGGAGTCAAAAAACGTCAAGAGGGTGATTGGTTTGAAAACAGCATTCGCAGGCATACTTTTGTTACGTTTGCCCCTAACAATAGAGAAGACCACTTAAATAACGGTACCAGATCCCTCGATGCAAGCTAGAACCGACCTTCCCAGGCTAATACCAGAACAAGACCAGAGCTCGAGTAGAGAGCTTTATTCACGTCAGCCACGTGCAGAGAAGAAGTGAATTTCGAAACTAATTCAAGACAGGGGTTGACCTCGACTTGACAAAAGCGTAACAAAACAAATGTCAGTAAATTAATGTAAATAGAATTAGAAACCAATCTTGGGGAATCGTGAATCCCTAATAACTTTAACCAGCTATCGAATTTATCTGTGAGAAATGTAGCCAAATCGTCCATGATTTATCAGTTATTTTAAAAACACTCAGTCGATGTCGGAGGTAGGCTTAGGTGCATCTGGCAAAATGATGGTTATTCCTATCAGAAGACCCCTTGTTGTTTTATTTAACTTCACGTCATTTGATTGCAAGGGTTATATTCAATCAGATTTGTAGAGATGTCAGCGTAGGTGTGACTCTAACTTATATTTGCAGGTGTTCTTCAGCGGCAGCTTACTTATCAAATCTGGCCTTTGAAATATTGTTGAGCGGATCAGTTTGCTCCTCCCAGGTGTGTCACCAAGTAAAACCTCACAAAACCATCGGAATCACTCCATGAGATGTGATTCCTTTCGAGAGCACTAATGCACCACTGTTGTTATCACTTTCATAATGCGGATTAAGCAGAAGGGTGACACTTAACTTCCATTTGCTAGGGCTTGCAACAAACCCTGGAGTTGTGATGTTGCGTGATTTATGAGTTGGTTAAAAGTGTGAGATCATATTGACAAACACGTCCTTCGAAAACCACTTCATCGCAAGTGTCATGACTGACGCACTAAAAAAACTAACTTTATAAAGAAAGTGAGTTAGTGAAAGTGTGGGAGGCAAATCACAATCGCAAATGGTTCCCTAAAGCGTCTATCTTGTTTGGAAATATTTGATCTCTTAGCGGAACGGAAGTGAATTGGATAGCTCTTAATTGTACTGCCGAACAAACATCAACATTGCTGTTCCTTGCTTGTGAATTCAGGGGTACCTGGCACCGGTACCCTGACACATTCCTGGACCCATCGACCACCAAATTACGACCCGCGCTGCCGATAGATCTTTACCGGAGCGCCATTGTTTTAATTAGTAGATCCAAACGCTCACAATTGTACATACGGCGCCCTACACACCTACCATTGCTGATTTTCTTCTGAGCAGAAGACCGCGGCATTTTATACTCTGTCAATGTGATTCAGCCTCCCATCCAGTGTCATTCTGCTGCTCCAGAATCTAATAAATAAATTACACAGAGTGTGATATTACCGTGGAGTCGTTTATCAAAATTACAATGCAGTAAGAATCCGTTTCCCTGTGGCACCGATTGAACAAAATGGCAACCAATTCTCCTGTACGCAAATATCTGTTGATTTTCGAAAGGGACCTTCCTGTTCGTAAACGTCATCAGCCCACCATGCATAGTGAACACCAAGTTTTAAAGTAGTCTCGTGACGCCCTCTTTTCACTGAGCACTATTTCAGCATGAAAATGCGCTTATCAACAACTGTAATGGTTTGTTGAAGTTTAGGAGACGTTATAGAAGAGCGCCGGCCATGTTAGGTCAGTTAAAATGCGATTGATTTTGCTTTACGATCTCGTTCAATCTGGCTGCTGCACTACACTCCTTAAGTAGTTAAGAAACTGGCATTTTAAGATTGGGTCTGACAAAGAATTTTCAGTAAATACAAAGAACCTATATTGAAAGCTAATGTTCCTGGCCTAGGAACACAAAATAATCATCTCAAAAACGCCAAGTTGTAACTTGTAGCATTTTTGGCATTTTCAATTTGACGTCCGTTTTTAAAGCGTCAGAAGTGGCACCTGCATTTTTTTTATTTTATTGGATTGTTTAGCGGAATTTTGTTGTACTTTTAAAGAACTCACGGCATCTGTTAACTTCTAATGTTTTCTCTAGCACTAACAAATAGCATTTAATACACTTCGGTTAGCGGCAGACGTAAAGTGGTGTCATCATGCATGAAGTAGAATCACATCTGATGTCAAATGAAGTTAGTTTTCGTCTATATATGGGTATGAAAATAATGGGTACGAATGGGTTATGCAGGAAGCAGCACTTTCTAGCTGCGGATTGAATCAAATGAACTTGGGTTATTTTGTGTTGATTTGATGGCTATATAAACTATTCGTAATATTGTCGGTTTAGGACCTTTTGCGTCACTTTGATTCTTACCAAATATTCGATTTATATTGTGAAATATGGTCAAAAATTGACTTTACTCATTTAACAAACCGTATTACATGGGCATCAAATGATCATCAATCAAGATGCGTGTATTGAAGCACTCACAAAAGACGCCTTCCTTGTAACAAATAATCGATTTACTTCTAGTGTCCACTGATGATAATTTGAGTTCAATCACGCTACTTGGCTTCAACACTTAGCTCACCATTGCGTGTTTCCAACCTTATTGAGACTAAGACAGGCGTTTTGCTGAGATGCTGGAATTTTCGCTTTCTGCTAGACGCCAACCGTAATAAGGCACATGTGATAAGCATACGAAATGCACACTCGTGTTATGCATTTTCGACCTTATCCAAAGCAGGATAAAGAGCATAAAGCAAGAACGAAATGACTCTGCTTGATAAAAAACACACTTGGGATTAGCTCAATCACTAGTCTACAGGAGCTAAAATTGATTTAAGTGATTTCTACTGGTCATGTCAAATTTATGGAACAAACATATTCACTGCACAGTAGCATTCGCTAAATTTGAAAATGCTTTTTTTGAACAGTGTATAGTAAAACTCATTAAATCTATTTCCCTTCAGAAATGCTGTAAAATCTGACATTTTTGTCGAGATTTCGCTTACAAAGTCTCCTGGACATTCAGCCTAAATAAACAATACAAAGCTGCATGCTACTAGAAAAAAAAAATACAGAATAATATTTCTGGTTAAAGACGTCGAAAAAGAACCCATTTGATAAAAACTTTATAAGCTAATGTCAATTAACACGACCATTACAGGTCAGCCATTTTTAAACTTGCTTTGTTGTCATACTTAACTTTTTGCCAATTTCCTGAATTACAAATAGCATACACAAATATGAAAAGACTTTTTAAGCGTGCTTTTTAAGCAAAGTGTGCATTATTTTTAATTTTAAATAAAAAATCGCCTTAAGTTTTATTTATTAAAATTTAATTGCTAAGCGCACAGACTTTAATTTTTTTCTATTGTGACCTTTGTTTTAACCTCCTAGGTCAGTAGTGAGATTTTGAATCGACCTTGGAGGTGTTTGATTGGTGTATTCGTGAAGGATTTTGCTGTAGCAAGAATTATTTCTATAAATTTGTCTTTTAATTAACCACGTGCTAATTTATTATTAACAGACATTTAGGTTGTGACTTGTTTTCACATTATTGCCTTTAAAGTTATTTTGAATCTCGTCATTCAACCCCCGCACCAAGCCATCAAAAAGTCGTACCTAGCTAAGCTGATGAAAATATTCTTCATGTGGTTACACCTAATTATCCATGAAAACTGAGTTTTATCCGAAAACGTTTTGCTCTCGTCCTGTCGTGTCATGGAAATGAACTGTGTTTCTTTAATTGAAGTAGCATAATTAATTTTGCAAACTTATTATACCAAGAACACTAAGTTTCCCTATTGCGTTTTCTTAAATCTTGCTTAAGAATATCTAGCCACTTAGCCGATTTAGTTTCATGACATCAGTTTCTGTATCTTGCAGTCCAATTGTGTTTTTTTCCGAATAAATTGTCAAATTCCATTCCAATAAACAATGATGCGAAGTTTGGTCGAGCTACGGAATCCTGTTGCATATCGGTTTCATCTGTCCAAGTTGTGCATCGATTCAATTTGATTCGCAAGATTTTCGTACCGAGATTTGAACAAAGCAATTCTATGTGCTTTACTCCTCCATTATGACCTCTCATTCGCGGAATAATCTTGTAATTTTTATGCACTATTCGGGTCTTAAAATGCATTTTTATACACAAAGATGGTTGCTTCCTGCCACAATGTTAATGTCAGTGCTCATCGATTATGTTTTGGCCACTTAGCACACTACTCCCTGTTTTCATTCAGTCCTTATGGACTGAGATTTCTTTCAAGCATTGAGTGCAAGTGCTGCTTGAATTTTGCCCAATGAACGTGTCTATTTCAACTTAAGCCGTCTCCTGTGAATTCTGCGAAGTCCAGAGGTCATCCAGAAGCGAATGCCGCGGCCCCGACGGATGCGGATCGCGGTAGCACTGACGCCGTCGTCTCTAGTCCAAGCTCTGACCATGATCGGTTCCTACTTGAATCCATGTTATTATTCGCCCTACGCCGACGGTTTATCAAGGCTGCCTGCAAAAGTACGTGCAGAAATGTGTCTTTTGATGTGTGAACTGTTTAGACCGAAGTAACCAATATTATTCATTGCCTCTCCTTTGTACCTTGCTTCCATCTACTTTTTTTTCGATTTAGTTTCTGCGACAATGCACCGGTGCAATTTGGTCCCTGCCAGTCTACTTCTATGGTGCTTAAACGCCCAGGTGCCCAAAGTAATACGTCCTTTTGGCCATCCCACCGACCCCACGGACTCATCCATTCTCCCCATCTTAGAGGAGTTGTCCAGAGGCGCCCAAGCTCTCGCGAAGTCGGCTGGCGAGCAGAGTCCCTTCTGCGCGCCGCTGCGGCAATACAAGACCCATGTGGATAAAGTGGTGGGCAACTGCTTTCTCGTGTCGCAACCCCCTCCATCTCCATCCTCCTTATCATTAGTGTCTTGCCTCTCTTCAGCTCATGTGCATTTACCTGGAATCGCCTTCTCTCGACAAGTGGCCTGATCTGATTGCCAAGCTTAACCAAAAATTTCCTCCTGCCTCTAAGGTAAGCGTGGTATTTTCATGACTTTGGACAATGAACCGACCAGTGTGCACGTTCAGTGTCCCATCGTGTAGCCCCATCACACTGACATGCGTGCTGAAAGTTAAATATTGCTTGTAGTCTCTGGTGTGCTTCTTTCCAGAAGCGCCTTTCCCAAACTTCGTTGTTGATGCAGTGTCACCAACCTTAAGAGACCTGAAATCTTGCTTATCTTGAACCGTTGCAAATTACGCTATTTCAGGTGTTCGAAATTCAATCATTTCGCAATGACTTTGCGAAGCTCCTGATGTCGGTCAACACCGCGGAGAGGTTTTTGACTGACACCTGGTTTCCAGGTCGTGAGGCGGCTTTTTTGGGGCTAGTTGGCGACGCCCAGAATGTAACCGACCGTTTACCAAACACGATTTTTGATCAGGTTCGTGCATTCCGTTTTGCTTAATTGATTTCACAATTCATGCGTATGCCCATGGCACATAGCCCGCCTCCAGTGGTGGAGATTCCCTGTAAATTAAACTAACGCATTACTGAAGAACATTTGAGTACGATGTTTTGTTTGCTTTTTTAGGTGGGCACCCGAAATCACGGGCTCTTCGTGAAATCCGCGAGGAAATTTGACACCAACCTGACGAACACCTTGCTTACTGTGCTCCGCAATAATCAGGAAGCCTGTACAGAAGAAAAATTGATCCAAATCGCAGAGTGCCTTGCGTCACCTTAGCTCAAATTTTCAAGACCTCCCGGTTTTGTACCTGAAAGTTTCGCCTGGGCAATATCTGCTATTTTTTAATAAATTTTTTTACTGCTGCTTTGTCAAATCCGCCACATGCTCTGCGTCTTCTGATTACAGTGACAAGCTCCTGTCAAAAGCGTGTAGACCATGGATTAATTGGCACTTTTCCCCATTTCAATTGTCCCGCTTGTGTACTAACCGCATCACAATCTTGTAAGTCGTTTTAATACAACACAATTCATGCACCAGAAGCACGTAAAATCTGATTTTCAATTCAGGCTAATCCCACGATAGAAGGGTCGTTGAATATATAATAGACGCAAGGCGTGCATTACTCACGTAATACAAGTCTATTGTCCACGACGAGTAGCTCGTTTTTATTTGCCTGTCGTGTTTCTACGTGCAATTTGTCACGTGACTTTAATGGTACATCGGCTTATTCCGTTTAGACTGCTTATTGCGTTTAGACGGCTTATTCTGTTTAGACTGCTCTCATAGGCACTGGCCTTGCAGTTTTTCTCACATTGACTATCTACTTCCTAGTAATAAGTAGAAATGTAATTTTTTTTAAAATTAGGAATGCCGATGTCAAGAGTCTGCTCGAGAACTCGAGGCTCAGCAGAGACTCGTGATCATGGTGAACAACCACGTGTAAACTGTGAAGACTACTTGAATTAACAGTATTCACATCAGTTTATTCCATGTAGCAATTTAGAGCAAAGGGCATGTGGATATTTTCCGGTTTTAAACGGCTGTGAAAGAAGAATGTGCGTTCTAAGCTAACTTTTATTTTGCAAAAACTCTAGCACATATATGTTCTTCAGCTTTATTGATATGTTTAACTCTCTCTAGTCATTCAATGGGCTTAGATCTGTGCCTACACGGATTCCCACGTCAAAACAAGCGTGCCTCGTTACCAGCTAGACGAATCTCCTGACAACGATGTGCAAACTCTTCGGCGGTCCCTTTGCTCTCGGTTTCCACGGATGGCAACGACGAATCAGAGTGCGAAAAAGCCTTGGTAATTGCGTAAACATGCATATTTATATCACCTTGTCGCTTGGCGTGATATTCGTGTGTTGTGACCCCATATACCACTAACTACCCAACAAGGATGGCGTCTGTGGAAGGACAGAGAGTCAACCGTTTATTCGAGAACTTAACGAAGCCGCGGTTGTGTGTGGGGTTTGCGCGTGTGAGTCATTCATGCGCTAGCATCGAGACCTAGGTGTGAGGATAATCCAAGATAAATATCCACGCGAATGAGGGGGGAGTAGAGGATCCGCGCGCCTGGCGATATGCTGCGAAAAGTGGAACCCTGTGTCGGAGGATGGAGCTACCGGACTAGGAATGTAAGTAAACACAATTCACAACACACGCTACATCCGGCAATCAGTTAACTAAAACCTGCGAATACCATCGGATCACCAGCTGCAACCCACACCGAAAGCTTCCTTAAGGTGTGCTGAAATGCATAGGAAACGCCTAGGGAAAGTGGTTGTGGCATTATTCCACCTTGTCCTACTTACAAAATCACGTAACATTTATTCATTGCTCACGTCAACAAATTTCACCCCAATGCGATAAAATAGACGGTTTCACAAACCGCGAATTTCTAAAACCACAAGCACACTTCGCCCATGACTGTAAATGCTGCACGGTCCCTTGTAACTCCAAGTTTTTGGACGCGTCGCGAAGTCTCGCTTTTGCCATTAAGCGCAGGCCCGCACACCTGCTGACGTCATCAGGCGTGCACACGCGAGCGAGCCAGCGAGCGAACGTCAACGCGCGCCTGTCCGTCCACCGTCTTGCACGCACACTGCGTGCGCCTGTCTGTCCCACTACTGTCAGGTCTTGCCAGTTGGACGCCGACTCACGCACGTCTACGCCTTGTGCCTGCTAGGCCTCATGCTCGTGTCGTCACTTGTGTGAGTCAGCCAACTTTTTTTTTCACACCAACGTGTTGAGGATCTCTGGTGTTAACTTACCCTCACCAGGTAAACACGGCGGAAATGGTCTTTGTTTTTTATTGTGTGACGAATGAAGTTAAAAACACTCATTTCAGTGGCGCACTGATTAAAAAAATCGATTGGCACTGTGCTCAACTGTAGTCAAATCTTTGCTTATAATTCTTGCTTTTTTTATCGGCATAGCTTCAAATCGGATGCACTACTACCAACGCAAAAAAATGAATTTTAGCTCTGAGGGTTACCATCGGTAGAACTTGAAAAAATCAAGACCAATTCAAGGTTATTATTTCACAAATAAGTGCATGGATCAATATTATCTGGTAGTAGTGCAAGGTCATGATTGCCTTTCTGAATTCAAAATCATCGACTAAAACAGCGGAAAAGAATACTTATGATACAAAGACAGAAAATCTCTTTACAAATTACTAAAAGGATGCTTTTGTGTGAGAAGTTCGTTGTCTCGTGGAAAAGCTGTTTTCTCATTTGCCCCATCATTACTGCTGACCGCCCAGTCAAAATCGGCGCTGCTGGGAAAGTGACCTTGACCCTGAATTAGCCCCTGGCAGCCGAGCCCATCTAGACAATTTCCGTCGGCTTTATTGAAGGTAATTTTCACAACAGCACTCCACTTTATTGATTCTCAGCAGTGAATCTTATTTGAGAAAATGTCGATTTGAATGTAGAATGGGACTACTATTCCCGAACTTCACAATGCCGACAATGCTAATGAGGAAGAAGTAAGGAATGAAATGTTTTGCCAATTAAATTTAATTGTCGCCTGGTTCACTAGCGCACATGTTTTTAGGTTCAAGTGGACGCGTCTTCAGAGTACATGCGTGTATTGCGAAATAACGACTTGGTCCTATCGATTGTGAGGAACTTTAAAAGCTTTTTCTGCTCCAAAAATGCCCACCTGTGTGTCTTGATTGGTTATTTCCATGACTGCAATTGTTGTTGCTTCATTTGGTATAGAAGTCTTGCCACAAAACCCTCTTTCTCTGGCACGTGGCGCTTGAATCCGCCAAGCATGGAAACAGTACTTTCTGTGATCCGGGCTTTTCCTTGGAAGATTAGCCTGACTAACGAAAAAGTTTGATTCAACTCTCTAGCCGAAATGTGTCTCATTCACCAGAATGCTAATGCACCAATCATTTGCATACATTGACAATTGGGACCAATTCGCGTGTTGGTTTCATTGTCCAATTAGAATTCAGATCAGGTACTGCGACAAGCTTCCTGTTACAGAACCTTGTGTTCACAGAAGATTCGAACTTGAAATGATTTGCCGGCACCACCGACTTGAAGACTTCTTCGGTAAGCCTTCTTGGGCTATGGAAAACTCCATTACTTCTGTCAATATTTGACTAAAGCGTGGTTTTGAATGCGTCACCTTGATAATGTGACAAAAGTCGATCGCCATTGGTCTAAATTGAAATCGCCACCGCTAAAGCCGCTGAAATTAACCCCGCAGTGGAGTGACTCGCGGAAGGCTTAAAATGCACACAGGTGTAGTAGCCGCAGCCTTTGTAATTAAACCTCTAATTTAGCTGATGACGCCCTGTTCCTTTCAAGCCTGTCGTGGGAACCACGGGTTTGGATTCACGAATGACCTTGAACAAGCGCTTCCTCCAATCAGGAAGGGAGTTGAGCTCGACTGTGCAGGCTCACGCCAAGGTAGCTACATCTCGAGCGTGTGAAAACTACTTCACGTGCATTTCGCTGTCGAGCTCCAAGATTCGATATTTTTGTGAAGTGGTGCCCGTGTGAGAGCCTACGACGAGACATTCTGGTCCCGCCATTGACCAATAGGAACGGCGGCGGCGGCAGCAGTGCAGTATTATTTTACCTTGCGCGACCTTGAATGGCAAGCAGACGTACCGCACACATCCGTGCGTCTGAACACACTGCAATTTCCCATGCCTCAGCAGTGTAAATGCGTCTACGCGTACCGCGGTCGTTTGAATGGGCAGGTTGTGGGAAGGCGAATGTCTACGAGATACGCCTCTGGCTCGCTCGCTGGGGCAGAGCCTTGACGTGTCGGGTGGGAGGACACACGATCCAAATGCCCGCCTTTGTACGGCCACCTGATTGGTCAGCGGGGGGTCATCGCCCAAATGGGGAGAGGTGAAAGGTAGGGACGCGCGCGTATGTGTTAGCCTAGCAACACTCAGCGGGGGATTCTTGTGCCAATGCGCAGTTTAGCCAATCCCCATCTACTCAGTCCCACAGTCGCCTCGTGTAGTGTGTATTGGGTAGGAAAGAGAGAAGGCAGTTTGTTGACTACTCGTGTCCCCTATTTCTATTGGTAGAATGAAGACACTGTATTTATGCCATATTCTTCAACCATTCGTAAATCACCAACTGCACTACTGAGAGCATAGAGGAGACATAGCTGAGGCTGGGAATATAGTCCAATTATACAACTCAAAATCGGTTTTCAGCTGCATTTTACGGCGAGTTTGGGAAGATGCAAATCATCGCCCCTAATAGCAAAGTTTCTGTCACACAATGCGGTAAGCAGCTCCAGCGATTAGGGCGGATTTTTTGAGGCAGAATACGCCTCTTGAAAAACTCGTCCCTGGTGCACGCGTGAAGGCCATTCGACCAATTGGAACGTTAACCCACGTGAAGTAAATTGAAACAGAAAGCAAATTAACGCGTCGGACTACCATCAAATATTCCCTTTTTCTACTTCTTTCTGCATTTGGCTGTCCCGTTGGTTAAGATTGAAAAGCGCTGAAATATCGGTCCAGAATTTACATTGAAGTTGCAGATGCGGAAAAAATGGGTGTTTGTAAAGGCAAGTTTTCCTAACCATCGTCATCCTTCTCGAGTGGTTTGCACATTAGTCGAGCATTCAAGGGAAGCAAGTGTAAATATCTAGACCTTACAAGTTACCGTAAACCACCGAAGTTGTGAAATTGCATAAGTCAGCAGCAAACGCATTTAGCTAAACCCTCCAATTGTGTGTAGTGAACGGAGACCCAGCCACTTCCATAGCAACACATCTCGAAAGTA